ACAAATAAAAAAGTGAAGGTTAGTAGATATTAGTAAAGCAATAAACAAATAAAAAACAAATAAAAAAATATAAATAAAATATAAATAAAGAAATATAAAAAAAGAAATAAAAAAATATAAACTACAAAAAAATATTTTTTTTTTGATTTTAAGATAACCTCTTGGTCAAATATGCTTTTTATTATGTGAGAATAATTATTATACATATTTGGAGAATACATTTAGTTACACCTGCACCTTTTGAGTATCTATTTAAGTAATCTGCCTATTATTAGATTCTACACTAGTTGTTATATTTGCAACCTGACTAGGAGGTTGCTCATCTCAACTCTCTGCACCTATGTATGCCAAGGCTTACATCAATCATCAACCATTTCTCTAGTATTCCAGCATTCCTAGTACACATTTCACATGATGACTTAGGATTTTAAAGCAGATCTCCATCTTCTTATTAACCTACTTCTGGTCCTTTATCCTCAAGATAAACCTGGCAGAGCTCACAGTATTCCTACTCTTACTGCATGTTTTATTTAAATAAACTATTCTAGTTCATGAATCTTTACTATTTAATTTCATTTATTGGAGTTAGTAAGTATAAAGAACATTTATTAATATAAGTATTTAAAATAACTATTCAAGTTCGTGAATATTTACTATTTAGTTTCATTTATTCGTGCTAATTTAGTGAGCCAAAGTTTTTAAAATAATTATTCAAGCTTATGAATATTTACTATATATAGTTTCATTTTATTTTCGTTGATTTAAGGGTGAGTATAAAGAATATTTATTAATCTATTCATGAAGATTTACTACTATATTTAATTTCTGTGAATATAAAGAATATTTATTATCTTCTGTATTTAAGCTATTTAAGTTCATGAAGATTTACTATTTAATTTCATTTATTTGTGCTGATCTAGGGGTGAGCATAAAGAACATTTACATATTATCTGATCCGTTTATGAATTTAATACTGTATTTAATTTTATTTCAATTTGTGAGCACAAAGAATCTAAGTTTTGTATTTAAAATAAGCTATTCAAGTTCATGAATATTTGCTAAATTTTTATTTCATTAGTGGGTTGAGTATAAATTAATCTAAATAACTATTTAATTTCATTTTATTCACGTTTAGTTTGTGTATAAAAAACACTTATTAGTCTATCTATTCAAGTTATTAACCTTTACTATTTTATTTTATTCATGCTAATCTAGTAAGTACAGTAGTATTAACAATCTAAGTATCATTCAAGTTCATGAATACTTAGTTCGCATTAATTCTGTAATTAATCGGTTAGTAATTTAATATTAAAATCAATAAATGGACTGGCAAAAATATTCGTTATACATAATAGAGTCAGACCTCTATAAGTGCATGCCCCGTTAACAATGTGCACTTAGAGAATAATAAGAAAAGTGCATTTATAGAGGTCAAGTATATATTTGGTTGAGTATGCATTTAGAGAGGGTGTGTATTTATAGAGGATGCGCTTAGAGAGATTTGACTGTATGACCTTTTTAATATTGAATTCGTAATAACCGTTTTAAAAAATTCGGTGCTTCCAATTTAGTCTATTAAACTGTGAATCTGGTGTACATTATATCGATAATTGACTGTATATCTTATAATCTAAAGCTAAACTATTTTAAATAAATAAAAACTAATACAATTTCTATTTTTCAATACAGCAATAACCCGTAGTATACGTAAAATATATTATAAATCTAATATACATTTTGAGCTCTATGAATTACGCTCGTTCCTTTTTCCCAATTCTGATAATGAAATCATACTACGTTTCCTCCGTAAACTCCTTCTGTTTCCATAAATAAAACCGTTAGAATCTGTATTATCAGCGTTTTCAGTATCTCTAGTATCTTCGTTCTGTACTTTAGCATCCCTTTGCGCAATATATTTTAAAACATCTTTCACAGTTACAAGGCCAACTAACCTACCAACATGTTCTATTAGAATGACACGTGGACTATTTGATAAAAAATGACGATATTAATATTAAACACGAAGAGAATAAACATATCAATATATATATAAACATACCCCATTTTTTTGAATAAATCCATAACAGTTTCGAGTGGTAATCGTGGATGAACTGTAATTGGTGTCTAATCAAATAGATTAAAAACTCACTCATTAATTTTAAGTATGTAAAGAATAGATTTATCATTATAGATAATTTACCTGATCAATAAGAGGCGCAAAATCAATGAAATTTGATGATCCTTCACCACCCCCATTGCTATCAAGATTAGTGTCGTCAGGGTTGAAAAAACAATGTGCATTATTGGAAACTCCTCGGACTCTTTTTGCTTTATCTGAAATGTAAGAAAAGATCAATAAAACTAATATTAAAGTCTGAATAAAACTTTTTAATAAAAATTTGATACCTATAGCATATTTTAATTCTACACGACCGATATATCCCAATAACATCATGCTCTTTTTATCTTGTACAACTGGAAATCCTTGGAAATTCGTTTCTAACAAGATTTGATCTAAGGAAAGACTGTGTAAGAACAAGAATCTTAAAAAAAAAAAATCTTTTTTTAGAAAACATACCAATTTCGTCCAATCTTAAGCCTGACGCAGTCATTACGGTTATATTTTTTCTCATAACAGTAGCAACTATTATTATTATATAAAATATTATTAATTCAAAGTTTGTATTCAATATTTACTTGACAACCATCACATATTATCAAACCTGGGACTCCAAACGAATATTCTTCTTTATCTAAAAAAGGAAATCCATTTAACCTAATCATTTGGTCAGCAGTATATTTCATTCGGTTAAGGAACAATTAATTAACATATTTTAATAATAATAATAATAATAATCATATCATTATTATT